TTAATAGAGAGAGAGAGAGGAGGTTTACCTGTTGGGCCAGGCTTAACCATTTCCTAGCCAGGGAAAGCTGCCCTTTTCAACCTCTCACTGACATACACAGAGTCGTGTACCCTGTCACAATATATTTATATATACACACACATGCAGGAATACCACCGGATTGATTTTAACAGAGCCTTAGGCCTCGTTCACACAGACAGCAAAGGGCAAACGTGGATCAACCGCCTGTTTTTCCTGCCCCACCACCACCAGCCACCTACAATTTCATATGGAGGCCCCTCGGGGTGGTATACAAAGTCGTGGCCGTGGTGCTTTCCAGCAAATTTTTACAGCATGTCGCATATAGCAGACAGTGCCACTGGTCAAATGCGTCCATTGACATCACACAACTCTTCACACACCTGTGAACCGACTTTAAACTGCCTTTGAAAAGCGATCCATCGCATGGAGGTGTGTATAAACTTGCCACCCGTGTGAATGAGGCCCAGCAGGTCAGTTCAACCAAAATTCATGTTTCGGTTTTTGGTGGATGCTGGAGAGCTAAACCACCTGACAGCTTCCTATATCTTTGGGGGCTCTATAGGTAAGATCTCTGAGCTCATGTTCCTGTGTCTATGCATCTTCTGTAGCCATTATGAGGGATTCCCATTCTCCCTTCAGGGTTTTTTAATGTATTTTATATCACAAAGAATGCAACAGAAGAAGCTGGAACACACAAAGCTGGGCATGAACATTCCTATTAGAGATCTTCCTACTAGAGCACCTGAAAGCCAGGGGCTGACTCAGCCCACAAGGTGCCAGTGATAGTTGTACTATCACTTTCGGGTGGATTGACCCTTTAATATCTTGCTTTGTGATGTACTTCACTCCCATGCTTCTCCACAAATTAGTTTAAGGGACAAGTCTCCTCGGGAGTATTTGATCTAATAGAACATGCAAGTGAGACAATCCACTTCTGCTTGTCCAATGCAGAATCCTCTCCACACGAGTGATCTGCCCTCTCTATTCATCCCAAGCACAATGACGGTCACCCTATTATCTCCTTGTCAGGAATCTACTAAGAAAGCACTGGTTGAGGGTGATGAAAAGACTACTTCAAATGACTTCTTCACACTCCACGGCTACAAGATATGTGTCCCTCCTCCTTCTTATGCCCCAGGGAATACAATTAGTGCATACAGGAAACGTCCTGGAAAAAGGCCTTTTAAGAAACCCCCCCCCACCCCACTTCCCTAGGTGTAAGGTGAGGAGAGATGAATGGATGCATCAACGCCTAGCATCTCAACCATGTATAGAACTTCCTGCAACAACTACAAGACACCAATACCCGCACGGCTCTCAGGAGCTGGATACAGTATTTGATCTTTCCAATGGCCCTGTTCTGTCGAAAATGCCGACCCAGTCGAATTTGCCGACCTCGCCATCGGTGCTTGCGCACACACCGGGATGAAGGACGAAACAGCCATTTATTTACAAAGTATTTGCTGTGCACTTCCACTGACATGAATGGGGCCTTTTTTGGAAGTTTTGCAAGTTATAATGCCTACCAAACGTTGCAGGCAAGATTTAAAGTGACGCAAATGTGCCGTATGTACTAAACTAGGGATGTTCAGATACCAGTGCCGATACTTGGGATTTTCACGCAGACTACCAGGGGTGCAGTAGTTGCAGCTGAGACCGGACTCTGGCGCTCCACCACTGTCCTGAAATCATTAGTCTGTATTGTTTTAGGAAAACTGTCACATGACAATAAACAAAAATGTATCAGTACTCGTACTTGGTCTGGTTTGTACTTGGTCTAGTCTTGGAGGTGGAACATTATAAGTACTTGTACCAAGTACGATTTTTGGTATCTGGACATCCCTATACTAAACCAATCACTATTCATCTGAAGATCAGGTATTTTCTTCTCAAAGTGTTTGAAAAGCTTTACTAATGTGAAGCAAACGCCTGTTCTTTATGCCCGTGTGAGCGAGGACTAAATATGAACACTAATGTACTAATGAAGAACAACTGCAAGAATCTATTCATCTATCTTATGAATTTTTTCTATCTATCTCTCCATTATCTATCTATCTTCCTATCTATCTATCCCTCCATACCATCTCTCTATCTATTAGA